ATGGGGATGAGTAACTGATGAGATCACAGATCCCATCTAAGCACAGCGTGGGTGACTGGAGGACCCCAAGATCTGTTGGACTGAGGTACTCCCCATGGAGTTGGACATGGGCTCTGGTTCCTTACTGAGAGACAAGCTACTTCCTAGGATGACACAGAACTACTGATCATTCCAAGCTCCCTGGACTATACCCCCACTGACTCAATGAGGTCCAGAATGAGCGGAAGTTCCAAGTTTTATGGAACAATGGAAGTGTATTGAGGAGGGTCTAGGAGAGGCAACTGTAAGTCTCACTGAACTGATGAATATCAGAACTGGAAAGGATGTTGGTCTAACATTTTCATTTTACAGATGAGGAAACAATTTCAGAGAGCTTTGCTGAGCCTACTGTCACATGACTAATAGGGAAGTAACGGCCTACCTTGAGCCCACATCTCCTGTATTCCAGTCCAGTACTCTTTGAAATACAAGAAGTCATTAGATTGAATTCAATTGAAGGCATGCATAGTTGGAAGTCGGTATGATGAAAAAAGGGTTCAAATCCCTGGGCTTCAATTTTCTCCACTAAGGGGCATCTCCCCCTGGAGAGATGTCTGGTGGTCAGGCATCGAGGACAGACAGCTGGCCTTAGAATCAGAAAGCCTTGGGTTCCAGTTCCACCCCTGTACTGACCGTGTAAATACAGTCACTAAAACGTCTCAGTGCCTTACTGTCCAAGCAGTAAGTAGCAACGCAGGTGCCTTGCAGCATTGGTATCTAAGAGCAGATCCCTTCATTTTACAAAGAAGGAAACTAAGATGTCCTGACTGGTCCAAGCTCCCACGCAGGTCTCCCAGCCACGTGCAGCCGAGGTGAGAAAATCACGGGATTGGTTCAAACAAACAAACAAACAAACCAACATATGGTCAAACGGGGCCCCTCCAGGCACTAAATTCTCGGATTGTGTTCCTAATGAGGAGGTGGGCCGAATGTGCTGCATTAGAAAGCCAGGCACAATTGTTGGTGCCGGAGCAGAGGCTTTAGAAATCGGCCATGAATTCTTTCTGTTTTCAGAAACGTATAAAGCCAGATGCGCCGCGTTGATGCTCCCAGTGTTTGTGTGTGTGTTGCTGAGTGTGTGTGTGTGTGGCTAGCGGGAGTTTCCGTTCCGGGCACCCAACGGCTCCAGATTGGGGCTCCGCACAGCTGCAGATGCACGCCATCACCCCCCCGCCCCCCTCTCTCTTTCAAACCCTCCCTCCCTCCCTTTTCTTCCTCCTCCCTCCCGCCCTCTTCCCCCCTCCCCTCTCCGGGCTCCGCGGCGCATTTGCCCCTCCCGCCACCCTCGGACGGACGCAGAACGTTCCCCTCCGCCAACCCTCGGGCTCGGCTGTCCTTCGCAGGCGCCCCGCTTCCTCTCCTAGGTGTCCCCTCGGTCCAAGGCTGCAGGGGGTACAGGGCCAGGCTCAGGGTCTGCCTCGAGCGGCAACAATGAGCTGTAGTCGGGCCAGCCAGGAAAGCGAGCGCCAGTCCCAGGAAGAAGTGAGCAGGTGAGGCGCGCGCGGGCGCTCGGGGCACGCAGGGGGCACGCAGGGGTGCAGGCGGCGGGCCCAGGGGCCTCACCCGGCCCCCCTCCAGCCGCCTGCCCCCGGGACTGGCTGGGGAATGGGGGAGATCGGTGGATGGGGCCGGCGTGGCCGCGCGGTCGCGTTGGGGGGGGCACTTTGTGCCAGTTGAGGTGAGCGGGGATGGGAGTGTGGGTGTGACGGCGCAGGGTGCTCGGAGGGGATAAGGGTGCTCGGGGCCCTATGGCTGGAAGCCCTAGTGCTGCTCTCGACCGTCCGCCGGGGCTGGCACAGGCGCTCGCCTCGGCTCCCGTGGCAGGGGGAGGGAGAAGAGATCGCGCGCCCAGGGGCTGGAGGAACAGAGCAGGGCGCTTGGCACCCTCCTCCTCCCCCTTCTCATCTTCATCTTCCTCCTCCTCCCCCTTCTCATCTTCATCTTCCTCCTCCTCCTCCCCCGGGCTGGTAGAAGTGGGTTGGAGTCCGGTGCTCCTACTGTTTGACCCCTCTGGGGTTTGGAGGCGGAGCGCGGGGGAGGGGCCTCGCTTGGGCGCGGAGACTTTGTTTACCCTGGCCCTTTTCTCTTCCTAGGCCATTGGCTCAGGAGTGCCCACCCACTTTCGAACCGCGATCGGGGCGGGAGACTTAAAGGGAGCGCACCAGCGCCCTGGATCAGGGCCGAGGTGGGGGACGAGCCGAGGGACCGGGGCCCTCGGGCTGGCTTTCTGAGCCCCAGGCAGCACTCTGCCCTCATCCCTCATTCCACTACCCCCGTAATCATCCCCGCTCCCCTCCTTCGATTTAGGAATCGCGTTCCCTGCTCAACTCAGCCCCGGGCACCCTGCGGTTCTCAAGCCACCTCACCCACCGCTTTTGCTGGTGGGAGATCATCTCTGGGATTGGAATCCGCTAGATGTATTCCCCGCGGGTTTGTGGGGCGCTCATGATGGTGACCCAAAGTCTTACACTCAGTCTGCATAAACTCTTGCGCCTGGGGCTCCAGCCTCCCTTCCCCTTTTCCTGAGGCTAATCAGGTTTATTTTGACCACGTGGAAACAGTCCTGGCCGGTGACCACCTGAAGAGAACTGGTGTTTAAGGCCGATTTAAGGATTTATGCCATGTATACGGGGGTTTTTACTTGGAATCAGTTCCCCACTTTCTGTAACCTAAAGCATTTCTAAATAGGGAGATTATGTTAAATAGAAAGGCTTTAAAAATTAAGTCACTGACTTAATTAACTTGGACCTAAACTTCTGAGGTGCACGGACTGTTCATCTTTTTATCATTGCGGCAACTTTCCCAGCCCCCCAACTCTTTTCATTGTTCATTCATTTCAGTGAAGTCCGACTTTTCGTGACCCCATTTGAGATTTTCTTGGCAAAGATCCTGGAGTGGTTTGCCGCTTCCTTCTCCAGCTCATTTTACTGATGAGGAAACTGAGGCAGAAAAGGCTAAGGCACTTGCTCAGGGTCATATAGCTGTTGTCCGAGGCTGAATTTGAACTCAGGTTCTCTTGACTCCAGGTCCTGCATTCTATCCGCTGCGCCACCTAGCTGTCTCTTCTATTAATAAATACTTATTGAGTTGAATTTAAACTCCTTGGCCCCTTCTCTCTTAAGAACTTCTTTGAGTCCTGGCATGTAATTGTGGATAGCTTATTGGAATATTTGTTTTAATGAAGGCAGTGATCAGTCAACAATCCGAAAGCATTTAATAAGTGATCATTGTTTGCAAAACTATGCTTAGCACAACGGCTACAAAGAAAGACAATATCTTTAGACCAAAGCTTGTTAATGGAATTTGTGTCAAGGACCCCTTGGACAGGTTGATGAATCCTTCTCAGAATCACATTTGTAAATGCATGACATTAATTTAATAAAAATTAAATAAAATTAAATACATAGAATTGCAAAGAAACCAATTACATTGAAATACAGTTATGAAAAAATTTTAAAAAAAGCCCATTGGACTCTGGGTAAAGAAACTGATTTAGAGGGACCTGTTCTAATCCACTTGTGTATATCAGACCTGTACACACAGTCAGGTACCTTCATCATTTGCTAAATGTCTTGGCAGCTGGGTCTAGCATGTCATTATTGTGGCAGTACTCTGGATGGCCCACTGTCCTACCAGTTGGTTCCTTGATGGTAGAGAGTCCTATTTGGACTTTGTATCTCCTTCTAGAGCCTAGCACACTGGGAAGGGAAAGGAAAGGGAGTAAACATTTTTATGTAGCATCTACTATGTGCCAGTGGTTAAGGGACTTGCCCAAAATCACATAACCAGTCAGTGTCTGAAGCTAGATTTGAACTCGGGTCTCTTCCTGACTCCAGGCCCATGAGTCTATGTATTGTACCACCTAGTTGCCTTGATACCTGTTGGCTTTCCTGAGGCAACATGTGTGTGCATGTATATAGGATGGTGGATTTAGAGTTGGAAGGGACAGCAGAGGGAGGCCATCAGCTCCCCCTGTCATTTAATAGATGAGGAAACTGAGGCTTAGAATGGCTAAGTGCCTTGCCCAGGGTCTCCCAAAGATAGTGTCGTGTGAGATTTGAACTCAAGTCTGTCTGATTTCCAGTACCGAGTGTACTTTCAGCCCCTAAAACTATGATATATACTAGGTGCTTAATTCATGCTGGATGATTGATTGAAAAACTGTTGAGTTGAATGTCTGCAGAAGAACCTGGTAGTCTCCAGAGCCAACCTTCTATCGTTCTCTCTTCTGGCTATCCTTGATCTGTACCGTCTCACGAGTCCATCCTCTGAATTGCAGAGACCCTGACAAAAGCTACCTTCAGTAGCTAAGAATCTTGTCTTTCAGGGCCACATCCTGCCAGCCAGACTAGGAACTTGCTGCTTGAAATCATCCTCTGGGTCAGAGGGCAAAAGATGCTGAGGCTGAGAACCTCCCTGACTCATTGAACAGATGGCTTCTCCCCAGAGCATTGAGGCTGGTGACTTGTGCCACCCTCCCTCACTGTAATCCAATTCACTTGCAGGTCATGACATCACCTCCCTGATGTCATGGTCCCCTTTGAGAAAGAAGGACAAACGACTCTCTCTGGGAGGTGGCATTTGCTAACTCCTCCCGAAGGAGGGAGAGGCAGAAGCAGCTGCCTCTCTCGTTGAGCTGATCCTCTTGCCGGGACTTCTGCCTGTTGCGAGGAGACGGTGCTTAAGGCTAACAGGACATTTTCATGGGAGCAACCTACATGGAGACTTGAAAAGAGTTTTTTCTGTAACAGACAGCTATTAGTCTGTCCCTACTGGAAGCTCTGGGCTTAAACTCTGGGGATGTAGGGAACAGCAAAAACAGTCTGTGCCCCAAAGGAGAATATATTCTAATTGGGAAGATAAGATGTAAATAACTAGATTTGGAGGGCAGATAAAAGGCCATCTGAGAAGGGAATTAGATGTAGAAGTTTAGAAAAACTGATAAATGCATTAGGCAAGTTTTTGAAAATGTCAGCATGGCCCCAGTGTTTCAGTATCTAGTTTGTAAAAGCCCAGGCTGGCCCTAGGCAGTTAGGTGGTTTGTGGTCTACACCTTCCGGACCCTCTGGTTGCCACTGACTGCTCAGAATTTCCCACTGCCTGGGTTTCCCAACAACTCTGTCTTGAGGACAGAGGCTCTCCATCTTTATGCCCTTGTATTCTCAAGACCTATTTTTAATAAATCCTTGTTGAACTGAATCGAATTTTTTTGCCTCCTTCCCCATCAAAATTTATCTGGTGCATAAATTAAGAGACCAGATTCAGCCACAGGCTTTATGAAGGCAGTTCATAACCCTGGCCAGCTTCTTCCTCCTGGGACTCAACCCTTTCTGCTCATCTCCTGCTGAGGGAGGTAAAAGGCTATTTGCAAATTGAGGTGAGATTTTGTCTTCGGAGAACAAAGGAGCCTCATGTGGCTTTGCGGAGATAAAGTTGTTGCTTAAGTTTATTCCAGGAAAGGATCTCCTGGCCCTTAGCTGGAAGGGCCCCCAGCGGCCATCCAGTCCAATTCCCTCAGACTAGGAAACTGAGACCCAGGGAAAGGAGGTCACAAAGGGAGTTTCAGAGTGAGGACTTGAATCCAGGACAGCAAACTTTCTTTTCCCTGCAATGTGCTACAGGAAATACTAAATTAATCTACAGAGTGGGTAAAAGAAAAACCTCATTTTTCAGATCAGGATTTTTTTTTTAAAGAAATGGATGCTTTGATGTACATATTTACTAGAGCCAACTTTTATACACAAATAGAAGAAGTCTTTAGTTTACCTGTGACCGCATATACGAACAGAAGCTGTGCCTCCCTGAAGTTGAGGCTGCTGCTCAAGCAGGCCCTCCTCTCTTTCCCTCCCTCTGGGGACCCTGAGGTCTGGCGGCTTCACTGCCTTGCCACTCCCACCCCCAGGTCTGGCTACTGCTCCTCCCCCTCGGGCCCCACCCCCTTCATTTTTATCCTCTCTCTGCTGAAGCCTGGCTAATGGCAGGCCTGCCTGTCAGCAACAGAGGGAAAAAGGGGGGAAGAGAGACAGCAACCTCCCTCCTCCATGACCAGAACATCTCTCTGCTCTCTGGCCCTCATTTCTGTTTCCCCACTCCAGGACTAGTGTGTGGGGTAGCATCCCTCCCCTCTCCCCCAGTGAGTGTCAGGTGAGGTGGCCTGAGAACTAGCATGGGGATAGTGGATGCATCCCTTGTCTTGGAGCAAGATAGGGCCTGAAGTCAGGAAGCCCTGGGTTCAAATGTGGGTCACAGACACTAGCTCTGTGACCTGGGGCAAGTCAGTTAACTATTGTCTGCCTCAGTTTCTTCAACTGTAAAATGGGTCTAACAATAATATCTACTTCCCAGGGTTGTGAGGATGAAATGAGATATATGCACACACACATATTTATTGCCTGGCATAGTGTTCGGTGCTTGGTAGGTGTTTAATAAATGTTTATTCCCTTCTCTTCTCATTCCAAACCTCTTCCTCTGGGGGACCATGCCTTCCTGA